ATTTCTAAGTCAGCGCATTTAAGCGACATTAAAAGAAATTATTCTCATACCATCACTCTTTCGCAATGGTTTTGCCTATCAATTCGTTTTGTTCAGAATTTTGCCGATTAATAGTCAAAACCGTACCGCAGGAAATAGCCAGTTTTCTCATGATGGAAACGATTAGATTTAGTGCTTTTAATCGAGGATTTTAAAAAGACAGTGATAATACTCAATGTTGAACAAAAAGAGTAATCTTTTATTTTCGATCAAAGTTTTTTCCTGTCTGCAGCTAACTGATTTGCGCAAATATTTTTTCCCCCTCACTAATACAAGGAACTTATCGAAAGGTATACTAAGAAATGCACCCTATTGAAATGTCAGGAGCAGTCAAAACTCCTACTCTCAATTTTCTTTGTTCCCACTTCCCTGAGTAAGTGTCTCTCTGAGGAAGAGAATGAGAAATACCCACGGTTACTCTGCGCCTTCAAATACGCATGATGCAATACGATGCAGCAGTGTTCGAATAGTTGTATCATATGGTTCGACATGTGTATCATAGTCTGATCCTAAGTTAATTGCCTCCTGGTAAGTTTATTCTTCCTTTCTCTGTCGCGCTGCTGAATTTCGACGTTAATGAGCAGTGTCGAGGCGTGAATGATCGATTATCGATTTTCACCCATTTGAAGCTATGGTGAAGAATCGATTATTAAGGTGTTCGTTCCGAACACGCTGTTTGTCGATCCTTTTCCATAGGTTTGGATGGTAAATTATTCGATACATCACAAAGTACGCCCCGCCACTGTTAATGAAATCAGTCACTAGTCACATAGTCTTAGTCACATAGTGTAATCGTTTGGGCAGTTTGCTCAAAGCTTTAAGGCTGTGGGAGTAAGCCTTTCATAGGATGAATATTCTAATGTTAGGCGATTTTTAAATTAACTCCGGATAAGTACGGCCGCCAATCGATGAATCAGATATTGATTCTCAGACAGGTAAAAATATCTTTTCGTTTTTCACAATTTAATTAACTTCATAGGTTTCTATCCTAATTATTCATAACATATTCCTTACATCAAAATTAGAATAAATCCAGGATTTGTGGGGATTGAGCCAGGCAAACAGAGAGATAATGTTTCTCAGTTTGTAAAACACGTATCATCCGCATTCAAAATACGTATCATCCGCATTCCATTTTCAACTTAAAGTGTTCTTGATTTTCCCCTAAAAAGTAATCTTTAGATTTTAAACGTCTGTGGTTCGAGAAGAAGAAATCAGGATTGTCTATATGTGTTCCACGGAGAAGATTAAATAGATCACGTTTTGAAAAAAAGATATAGATCTTTTTCGAACTGATGGATTCGATCGAACTGTTCAGTTTTCGTAAATTCAGCGTTGAGACCATGGAATGCTTTGGGACACTTATTACTAGAATAGTAGAAACATAACCCAGGACAACTGACTTTTAACTTTAAATACTATCGCCATCGTTAAATATATTTTTGGTCTTCAAGATTATCTCATTCTGGTGAATCTAATGAAACTTGAATACGCCTCTGTATAAATCAGTGGCGTGACGTGCTTTGCGATGTATCGATTGTTATGTCATTTAAACCTATGGAAAAGGATCGATAAACAGGGTGTTCGCAGCGAACACCTTAATAATCGATTCTTTACCATTAGTTTAAATGACACAAAAATCGATGTATCGCAAAGCACGCCACGCCACTTGTCTGAATTGCCCTGGACAGTAATCCTACCGGGGTCGCTTCCTCTTGAGGTCGTTTTCTCTAAATACGGTGTCTAGTCTGGACATTATTCTTTTCAAGAATTCTCTTCCTGCTTGAATCATTGGATGTTCTCTATGAGCGTTATGCTAATAATCATTCATTTTCAACGAACTAACCTACTTTAGCATGCCTTTATTTTAGGACAAATAAGCAGGTGCAGTCAAAATAAATAGAAATTCTGCAGGCGTATCCCTTATTCTTTTCATGAAACTATGATAGGTAGACTTTCTCCGGACGGTTTTTGAATCAGTATGATTTGTGCCAGTCTAACGAATATCTCCTCTTGCAACATTTCAAAACCATCTTTCATGTTTTATTCTTTGAATAGTACATATTCGAAGCTAATAATTCATTTTTTTTTTTTTTTAAATTTTTTTTTTGGCTGTCAATCAGCAGATTTATATCAGAAGAACGAGGCTAATTAATTAGTATTCGACGGAGAAATAAAACACCGACTTAAATGAATTGGTTGCGCTATTCCGAGAATCTAGTTTCGATAGTTAAATCCTACGCATTTTCAAAAAGTAACCAAATATGTCAATCTAAAAGGCCAATATCTCCGTTATCAGCACATGACCTTTTAAAAATACATTATGCTTAACTGAAGCTTTTTGATCAAAAGTGTATTCCATGGTTTCTCCCACCATAAGGTTCTATCAGTGATCTGCCAATAGCATATCCTTCCAATTTATAGATTAGACCGGGAGGCAACAATGTATGTACTAAAATCCGATAAAAATTTATTTATTCGCCGCTGAGCGCTTAAGTGGATAGGCCTACTCATTTTTTCATTATGACAATTAGATTATCACTTTTTGGCAGGCTCATAGGGTTAAATGGACATATTTCTATCAAACAGAACGATGGGGTGTGCTCGTCAGTTCTCTGGCCGTAAGAGTGAATAAGAATAATAAAGCGCCAGTGACGTCAACGGAGGTGGTACCGCCGTCGTCCCGCCTCCGCTTCCGTTTTAACTCATGAGCCCTGTCCACGACGCTCTCGTGCCTTGCCCGTGGCTAATGAATCCTGCATTCAGTTGGCACATAGTTCAGTTTGCTGAATTTAAAATCCCAATTCTTCAAAATGAATCATGCCCACTTTCACATTGTTTCTTATGCAGCTTTCTAGAGCACACCCCGTATTTCTCACCTGCACATAGTTCTGTTTGATAGAAATACGTCCAAATAATTGAATCAGTGAGAACGAAAACACACCAACTCGGTATCTCGAAAATGCTAAAGTTTCATATAAGACCGTCAATTTTCATAAAGGTCATTGAAGTTAGCGCATCTGTTCCAACTCGAACCTTTAAAGTGTCCTTAAGTACTTGTCTATCGACACCAAAAATCTTCTTCTAAGACTATTTTCTTCACTTGTCGTGCAGTTTAGTGTATGTGTCTCGATTACTGTCATTTTTTCGAGTTGGTGTGTTTTCGTTCTCACTGATTCAATCGTGTACAATAAAAAGTAATAGGTTAATCCTCTAAAATATAATCAATATTATAATGAAGAGGGCATCTAATATCTGATGAATACCGTTTGATTTCCAGGCGGCCTGCCGCTCCTGAGCGCGCTCCGACAGCGGAATCTGAACTACAACGTGAACCTCTCGCGGCTGGCCCAGGTGAGCCCGGTGGGCGTCCTCGAGGACCTGAGCACAACCGGCGAGATCCGGAGCCTGCTCATGAGCGACAGCTCCGGGCGCTACATCCTCCAGTGCTACGCCAAGAGCGGGAAGCTCACCTACCACACGCGCAAGACCCTCGTCGCCAACATCATCGACTACGAGCTGCGGGACGACCCGGACAAGCGCCTCGACCAGACCCGCTTCCTCGAGCTGGCCCAGGCCATCGTCGAGATCTTCCCGACGGAGAATGCGGACCTCTACTACTACCCGGCCACCACCTCCGACAACGCCGCCAAGAGGTGCGCGCGCGGCAAGCTCAGGGAGAGGTACAACAACGTCCGCAAGGCCTTCCAAGAGAGCGGTCTCATCCCCTCCAGGAAGTGGACCAAACAGTGATCACAGGTGCGTTTCTGTTAGTAGCCTCTACAAAATCGTCGATCCTTTGACGTAGGGGTGTATCTAGATAATCGAAAACACCGGAAAAAGCGGAAATAAGGCTAAAATACAAAATACTATAAAGGCAGGACGTTTCGGTACCTTACGGCACCATTATCAACTGCTTACAAATAATTAAAAATAAAAAAGAAATTAAAATAAAAACCAGCAAACGGCGTTACATAGTGAAATTGGTAAATGAGACTCATTTACTGTGAATGAAATTATCTGAAAAATTGGAGGGAAAATATCACCAAATTTCTCTGTAAATTCGTATTTTATCAAAAGAAATTTGGCAACGCCTGAAGGTTCATACGGCGTTTATCCTTAGCATGGCAGTATTACCGTATAACGCACATTATGAAAGGGAAAGATTAAAATTGAGTATCCTGGTAAAAATTGGCAGTAGAATCTGTGCTCCAAAATACCATAGACCTACAGCCGGCTGTAAGATTTCCAATAGCTTCTATAGCTGGCAACACAATTTCTTATAGCCTTTTATAGCCGATGGCGACTAAGCAACAGCCTGACGATAAAGTGTATGCTAAACGTTACTAATTACGGATGCTAGGACTTAGTGAGTTTTTGGACTACCGCTCTCTTTTTGGACCGTAGTATCTCGATTTATTTTGCGATGAAAGCTCCGTACTTTTGAAGGATGCCTGTCATTCCTAACATGTTGGAGCGCCTGCAATGGGCCTGTTGCAAACTTTTGCTAGAGCAAAAATAAGAGTTGTTTCTCATAGATGATGCCTCAAAAATCACGATGAGCGCATCGGCAAAGTCTGAAATGCACTCATAACTTCACAATCTGCGTAAGAAATTTGCGTTTTTTTAAGCTTCCCGCTTCAAAAACGATACTACGGCATAGGTGAACATTTTGTTAGAGGAGTCGCTCCATCGTCGGCGATATTCATCATGGCTGACGCTTGCACGCAGTTCCGCGCGTCATTCAAGGAGAGTTCAAGGTCAATCAATTCGGGCGTGGAAAATATGAACGTTAACACACCGATTGTTATCTGGTCTAATCCAGTTTAGGTGTTATCTCGTCCCATCAAACGTGTTTTGGCGGATTGGCGTCGGCTATGATGATTATTGCCGACGATGGAACGACTCCTCTTACAAAATGTTCACCTGTGCCGTAGTATCGTTTTTGAAGCGGGAAGCTCAAAAAACCGCAAATTTCTTACGCAGTTTGTGAAGTTATGAGTGCATTTCAGAGTTTGCCGATGCGCTCATCGTGATTTTTGAGGCATTATCTATAGGGAACAACTCCTAGTTTTGCTCTAGCAAAAGTTTGCAACAGGCCCATTTTGTATGATACTGTGCAATACCTCTGATGTGAAATAGTTGCTTCAAGCGCCGTGGTACGCTGCGGCGCGGCGCGGCGGGCGGGCAGCCAGAACGAAACGCGCATTGGCGCCTTCAAACCTAACAGGGATACTTCACGCATTGCGGAATGCGTGAAGTATCCCTGTTAGGTTTGAAGGCGCCAGTGCGCCGCCGCTCCGCTTTGTGTTAGGCTCTAATATTTAATCTCGTGGAGTCAGCGTTTTTCATCTCATGACTTTGAAATGTTTGCACACTCTGTATGGATTATTCTCATTTTAATTGATGAAACTAAAGGATTTATTAAAGGAAAATATAATGTGCGTTTTGTAAATATTAAGATGATTCCGTACAAACTTAAGGATTTACAAAGCACACGAATTTCTACACAGCCTTTTATAGCCGATGGCAAAAAAGCAACAGCCAGGCGATAAAGTGTTAAGCCCGGCGATAAAGTGTTAAGCCCGGCGATAGGAACTATAGCCCGGCTGTATAATTTTTTATCGCTTCGTGTAGCCCGGCCGTATAATTTTTTCCTTTTTCTACAGCCAGCTCTATGATTTTCTATCGCCTTCTTCAGTCGGCTATAAGAACTCCTATGGTATTTTGAAACGCAGCTCCTATCGCCAATTTTTACCAGGGTAATCCTTTTGCATCCGTGGCGTTACGATTGATATTTCCGGAGAACGGCTTATGGCATTCTTTGCATTCTAAAGTACCCATATACATACAGTTTTTTCTTGCTCACATTCAAATTCTAAGATGAAGCGCATTTTAAGCGTTTATGGGTATACACTGTACGCGGCTTTTCTAAGCTTCAATTTTTTAAGCTGAACAGATTTGATTCGCAAAAGTAAGACTAAAATGATCCATACAACTCCAGGCAAGTTTGCGTGGAGGGAGGTAGGGGGATTACAGGGGCCAAGGGTTACTCTCCTACTTCATCTATTCAGGAATGTTGATAAAGACCTTGGTGCCCACGAATTTTTTTCTCCTTCTGGACAAGAAATTATGTCTTCAATCATCATTTGGACATATTTATGTTAAAAGGAACTACGTGCATAGGGTTTGCGAGTAACGTCGGTCTTTTTAGCGTAAATACGTCCATTCAAAAGACATTTAGGATACCAAGGGAAAACTGTCAGAAGCAAACTAACGCAAGGCCTCATGTATTTTTAAGTTGTTTTTATGCGTTACTCTTCTCTCTATTCTAATTTTTTGTCTTGTTTGATTTCAGATTCATCGTGCAAATGGTGTGCCGAGAAAGAAACCTATTCCTATTTATTTGGTTTAAATAGAGCTTTGATCATCCGTGAAGAGGATAATGTTTCTCATTAATTAAAATTAAAATCACGGATACTTTCTCATTTAGAATCGTAATTTCTAACCTCTAATGAGTTGCCATTACTTTTTTATCCTTCCAAAAACACGTAACGCACAAGATAGTGCTAATTAACAGTGAATCAGCAAGTAACGATTCTTTATTTTGAAATGATTTATTATATAAATTTATGTTCAGGATTCATTTGAAAAATGGATCACCAATAATAGGAGCTCATTAAATTTTTACCAGCCCTAGTTTCTTTTTTCGCCGATATCAAGTCAAATTGCGAAGGCAATTCCCTCCTTTTGCGCACTTTCCTTTTGTGTCTATTTTAATTTGTATTTGTTTGTGCAATATTCCATGATTCTGGAGACTGTTCTACCAACCTGAAAGAAAGTAAAACTCTATTGAATCTCATAGATTTCGATTCCAAAGCAAAATTGAATGTAAGCAGAAAACTAGTGAAACTATAACATATTTTATGATCACGCGAAATCTTCTATTTGTTCATCCATTTGAAAGGCCTTTCGCCACGTGTGTGAGTGGAAGATCCTTTTCCTATTGTATTTTAATAATCATATCCTTGACTCTACACTGTTTATTTTCATAAATGTCTTATTTACCTTTGTTATTTGTACAATTTTTTAAAGAAGTATCGCGCTTTTTGTGCGTATAACGCTGAAAGTAGTAATGTTTTAACTTACAATACCCTATTGTAAATGATGTAGAAGTTAAATACATTTTCCTGCAACAGTAAGTTGTATTTAATCGCTCCAAAGCTCATCCAGTAACCATACTCTTATCAAAACTCGACGAAAGTGTATACTTTATAGGAGTCTATATTGATCCGTGAAAAATGCGACTTTTCAATAATTTCTGTCGTGCACAGAAAGCAGATTCTATCGTTGATATATATGAACTGGACCTTTACAGAGGGAATCAAAGCTTTACAATACAATGAAAGTCCAACAGTGAGATAAGAATCATGCGATTTTGCTTTTTTTCTGGAGAGATTTTTCCATGATTATATTGGATTCCGATTGCATGAATGGAATTTCAATATCGGCATGGACCATCGAACATTCAGTAAATTATTCAACACCGAAAAAAAGTTTTCCGTCTGCACGCCTTTGTTAAAAGCCTCTTATATAAGTACGCACACGCCTCCAGCTTCTAGATAGTGATGAGCACGAGTGAGTATACAGCACTTAGAACGAAAATATACATATTTTCCCCCTGTTATTATTATTCTATTGCAACAAAATTTTCAATAATTTTGCCACATTCAAGAGGAACTACATTTTCTACGTTTTAATTTTATTACTCTAAATTGAATTTCCCGTTACAAATATAATATATCGATGGTGAAACCACCAAATCACAGGAGATCGATGTTCGAAAATTTCCGCTCAAATTTCATTTTTAAAAAAATTATAATAATTGATCGACTTTCTTGAGCGAAATTTCTAGGGACTATATTGTTGAAAGAACAAAGCAAAGTCAAAGGCAATTTTGTGCTTGTGTAAAAAACTATTTGTATGATCTATTTGATCATACAATTGTTCGTATGATTTGTAAGACTCCCTCAGAGAGGTAAAACTTCGAAATGGAATTTGCAACATTGCAAACCGTAATGCGAGTTAGTTATTTTATTAACTTCACCATCGATTACTGCCGCAGATAAAAAACCAACATGTTTCTTGGTCCTATTCGACAACTTCTTCATCTTTTCCCTCAACTTCTTCTACTTCTTTTACTCATCTCTCTCTTCTCTTTCTCCCTCCTCTGTTCTTCTTCTGCTTCCTCCTTATCTTCTTCCTCTTCTTCCTCTACTTCTACTTCTACTTCTCTTATTCGTCTCCTTCTCCATCCTCTGTTCATCTTCTGCTTCCTCTTCTTCTTCTACCTCAACTTACTCATTCTTCTCCTTTTTTTATTTATCTCCTTCTTCTCCTTCTCCTTCCTCTGTTCTTATTTTACCTTCTCTTCAGCCTCTTCTTCTGTTTCCTCTTAATCTTCTTCTTCGTCTCCTTCCTCTTTTGGGTAACACACTCCAGGTAATTTCTTTATTTTCGGGTGACAAGTGTAGATTAGCAGTAGTGGTTGGAGGGAGAGAGGCTCCTGGCACTGGTTTGAAAGTGGATTTGAAAGGTGCGGCAACGGGAGGGCTCGAGATGGAACTGAGCTAGTGGGAATTCTTTGGATTTCAGGTGAGTTGGCAGTGTTCTGGCGCTCGCTCTACGAAGAAGGAGCCGAGGACGACGAGCGACGTCACCAGTGCAACTTCTGCTCCAAGAGTTACAAGTACCGCCACCACTTGAAGCGCCACCAGAAGTACGACTGCAAGAACGTGAGCAACAAGCCCGAGTTCCCGTGCCCGCACTGCCCGTACAAGGCCCAGCACAACTTCAACCTCAAGAAACACATCATCATCCGCCACGCTGCCCTCGCCGCTGCCCAACGACCCCGAGTCCAAGCTTCAGCTTATGTTCGAGAGCCCTGGCTCCTTTTAGAGTAGACTAAACAGTCATCTACGGTGCCTACACTGAAAAAAAGTCACGGGCTGCATAGCCATACCGTCCGTCCCGGGCTCAGAGGCCGAAAGTTCCGGGTGCTGCAGCCGTAGCTTCGATTGCTCCGGGTGTCATGCTGGGTACTCTCGACCTCTGAGCCCGGAACACGGACGCTATGTCTATATGGACTGCATTTTGCAATTTGGAACTATAAATTCTGGCTCTTCTGGAAAAACACTTATGTGCATCGGGAAACTAATGGCACATACGTCGTTTTTAAACCGGGCTAGAATTTATAGTTCCAAATTGCAAAATGAAGTCCATATAGCCTTCAGGGTCGGAGTTTTTTTCAGTATTGTGTTAAGTTACCAACGGTAAGGTCCTTGAGATAAGGTACGAATTTAAGCATCGTCATTAAGGTTTAATCCATCAAAACACACAGAAATCGGTTTAGATTACATTTTGTCATAAACTGATTTAGTGACTCCATCATTCGATATAGTATCGAACTCGGTGGTTCAAACCAAAAAAAAAGAACTTAACCTCATGTACAAATTCTATGTAAGCTAAGGGTGGTTAAAAACGCAGAAAGAGTGCGTTGTGAAATTTATGAACGCTTTCTTCCTAATTGCATAGTGTATTGCATATGTTCAAAAAAATTATTGAAAATCGCTCCCAACCAAGAAATTAATATTTTTCGATGCCCATATTCAAACTTCTCGCTCATAGAGGAATGAAAATATGACAACTTCAATATTGGCGCTTCGACTCAGCTGTTGTACGTTTTTTTCACTTCGAGCAACTCAGGATGAGGGAAGGATACTGCTGAGTTGGGAAGCGTACCAAAATATTTGTATTCACGACAACTCTGGTTTTCCTTGTGATTAGAAAATTCAAATTTCTCGTAAGCAGAGTTGAATAAAAAGTTAATAGCTTGTTTGGGAGTTAACTGCAGTAATTTTTGGTTGCTCGAATCATTTTCTACGTGTAATTTTAAGGAGGAACCATTTACATGAGTGCTTAAAATTGTACCTCCTCTACTAGAAAATCAATGCTGGAAATCTATTACTTACAAGGATACTAGCACTGTCGGAAAACATTGGTAGACGCGCTGAGACATTATTTTCCGTAAAGTTGGATTCATTCGTAGAATGCGAAATTTATGAATCAGCGAAAGCTTCATAATGTTAAACAAAAAATTCCGAATTTTTGTTGTCTTTTTCTGTTGATTTCTAGACTCGGACATATCTCTGCTCTTAAGTTGATTTCTATAATAATCAGTAGAGCTTGAAACAGTCTTTACAGGAACGTATCTCTCAAGCAAGTAACCTCCCCTTCGTTTCTTTTTCTTTGTTCGTGTAGCCAATCATCCAGGCAGTCGGTATCATGATGCTATGAACCGTTTTCAGTGTCAACTTTGCTTCAAAAGTTACAAGCATAAGAAGCACCTGGTGCGACATCTTAAGCACAGTTGTCGAAAAGTTTTAGACACGGTTTTGATACCGTGTCCGCACTGTGACTATCAAGCTCAATACTACACTAGTCTTCGTTGCCATGTTGCTAAGATTCATAATTTAACCTTATCTAAATGAGTGATCCTAGCGTTTGTTTTTAGTTATACCTTTAACTACGATTTGTTCTATTTTTCTACAATAAACTGATGATAAAGTATTATCAAGATGTTTTTCTTGAGCAATATATCCCAATTTTAAGAAAAACTTTTATTTTATAAATCACTGGCACGCAGGAATTTACTTGTGAATTAGTTTTATACGTCCTAGCATAGCTAAAAAAAATTCCGCGAGTCAAATTACCTTTGCGAAAAAATCCAATAATATAGTGAATGTGAAAGAGCCGTATGCAAAAACGACATTTTTCGCCCCCCCACTAAAACTTATTCGAACTTCGTCTATCAGTTACTAATACTGGAGCGCTTCTTTCCCCAAATTATCAGACCCCCAAAAAATTTTGGGGGGGCGCTAGGGGGGGTGGAAGCCAACCCGTGACCCTCGATATCTTTCGAACGAAACAAGATATTGAGGCCCGGTTTGGACGAAAAATCGTCAAAAATTACATACTTTTAGATTCTAAAGGTCAAAATTCCAAAATTAAATTTTTAACTTAACTTATGTTCTTTTTTTCAGTTTTTGAGGAAAAACAGTTTCTTTTAAACAGATTAAACTGAAATTTCACATTTTTTGATTTGAACCAAAACCAGTTTTTTAAATTGTTCGTCTTTTTCCGCATCCAACGAGTGGTCGTATAAGCTGGGGAACCGAACGGTTCCGGAGTTATGATCGATTGAAGTTTCCGCTCAACGCGCGCCGACCGATTTTCGCGCGCAAAAAAGTCGGATTTGACTGTTATTAAATCAGATTTAATGTTCAAACTGAGCAAAATGCATTATTAGGGACCCTTGAGGGTCGCTGAGTCCAGAAATTACAGATACTTCCAAAAAATTCACGTTTTTAAAATTACAGCTCCGTAGCGCTATTTTAGAGGCCCACTGAGCGCCGACCGGCCGCTCAGTGGTCCTGTACGGAGCTGAAATTTTAAAAACGTGAATTTTTTGGAAGTATCTGTAATTTCTGGACTCAGCGACCCTCAAGGGTCCCTAATAATGCATTTTGCTCAGTTTGAACATTAAATCTGATTTAATAACAGTCAAATCCGACTTTTTTGCGCGCGAAAATCGGTCGGCGCGCGTTGAGCGGAAACTTCAATCGATCATAACTCCGGAACCGTTCGGTTCCCCAGCTTATACGACCACTCGTTGGATGCGGAAAAAGACGAACAATTTAAAAAACTGGTTTTGGTTCAAATCAAAAAATGTGAAATTTCAGTTTAATCTGTTTAAAAGAAACTGTTTTTCCTCAAAAACTGAAAAAAAGAACATAAGTTAAGTTAAAAATTTAATTTTGGGATTTTGACCTTTAGAATCTAAAAGTATGTAATTTTTGACGATTTTTCGTCCAAACCGGGCCTCAATATCTTGTTTCGTTCGAAAGATATCGAGGGTCACAGGTTTTGACTTCCACCCCCCCTAGCGCCCCCCAAAATTTTTTGGGGGTCTGAAAATTTGGGGAAAGAAGCGCTCCAGTATTAGTAACTGATAGACGAAGTTTGAATAAGTTTTAGTGGGGAGGCGAAAAATGTCGTTTTTGCATACGGCTCTTTGTAACATTTCTTTCATTTCTCTACATCACTGCTCATCGTCCTTACCTGCAGCCAGAAGACTGATTTT